CGCCGCGTCCCACGCCTGTCCTGGGGGAGCAAGGCTGATTCATTCAGACGGAACAGAAGCCTCCTCTTGAAAGCGTCGCTATTGAGAAGATCCAGCAGCGCACCTACCTTTGGATTTTACAGGCAGGGAAATATCCTAGAGGGCTGAGTTGTGTTTTCTGGAAGAGGAGAGGGGAGACTGATGATGTTCCTTGTATTGTGATGCTGAAGTTACATCACAGTCTGATGAGAAAAGATTTCGTTGCCCTTCTAAAATTTGACTGAGGTGCTTGGGTTGGTGGGTAAAAATTTGTTGCTAAGAGCATGACCTGTACAAAACCTGCTGCTCTATTTTAGTGAAGGAATTCCCCCTTTAGATCAGTGTTGTATGTGCAGTTCAGCTGCTTCCTTCTCTCTCCCTTCCCCAAATCTGCTACAGATTTTCCTGGCTTGTTTATGAGGCTGGAGCATATCTTCGTTGCGAAGCCTGGCCAGGATGATGATGATGATGATGGAGCATTTGGGGAGAGGCGAGGCAGAGTTCACCGGTTCCACTCCCTGCCTAATGCAGAGTCCCGCTAAGAGGCTGCGGTGCAGATCGTGCAAGCGTTCCCGTTTCCTTTTCTGACCTAGTTTCTGTCGAGGCGTCGTAGCGGAGCGCGACTCCGCGACTCCCTCGTGTGGGGCTCGCCGCTCAAGTCCTGGGAGCTCCGCTGGTTTTGTTGGGAACTGCTGGATACCTCTCCTGCTGGGCTGAGGAGAAGAGCCTTGCTGCTGGAGGATGGAAGCCGCGCTGGTCCAGGAGATACCTGCCCGTGGGATCGTCCATGGTGCTGTCCGTGGGGCTGTGCTGGGAAGGGGTGGGGAGCAGCAAGGGGTCTGTGCAGGGCAAGGATCCGCGTTGCAAACAGCAGCTTGAGGCACACTTGTCCTCTCCTCCACCTGGTATTTGAGGCCATGGACATGGTCATCGGCTGGGAGGGGAGGTGTTTGCAGAATCACCCCGCAAAGCCGGCTGCTCGCTGGCTCCTTTTCTGTCA